TAACCCTTGCTGTCTTGAGTAGGGATGGGAAGGTTAAAGATTCACTGGACTTGTTAAAAAGTGTTGCAATAATGGGTGACAACAAATGAGAAGATTTTTATACACAAATGGTGGTAAGCTATTTGGGTCTCCTGCCTTGTTCTTTAGTGTTTTGATGATGAGTGAGATTTGTTGGGGCCAGGAATAGAGTATTTGGGTAGTTACCAGTGAGGTAGTTTTTTGGTTGTGTGTTTGAGCTTGGGATTTTGCTTGCTAGTGTTGTTCCTACAGTCGAGAAAAAGATGTTTAGTTCCTTGGCAGTGTCTGCCTCCTGGATGAGAGGTTCATTTGGTTTTGTTAAGTTAATCACTTTTTTTTTGAGGCAGTTTCCCAGATCCTAGAATTTCAGAGAGGGTTTTCCAGGTCTTTTTCACATCCCCTTTAATGTCATAAATTCTGTTTTCGTAATACATTTTTTTGCCCTTCTTATTAGATTATTAAGTGTTGACGAGTAACGTTTCATCTGCTGCTTCATTATTTGACCTATTCTGTACTGTTTTTCATTACAATGGACCCTTGGTTACTGGCTGTACCGCTTATCGGCCAGCTCAGTTGTCGGCTGTTTTTTTTTGGTTTCTGGTTATCAGCCATTATTTCGCTTATTGGCCATATGGGACGCATCAACCCGCCTCCACCTTCGTGAGTCAGTCTGGCTGTCTCTGGGAGAGTGGGGATACTTCTGCTCATTCATCCAAACATCAAGGAAGCTAATGTTGTGAAAGGGAGTTTAGCAGGGAGTGTAGCAGGCAAGCAGGGAGTGTAGCAGGCAAGCAGAGTGTAGCAGGCAGGCAGGGAGTGTAGCAGGCAGGCAGGCAGGGAGTGTAGCAGGCAGGCAGGCAGGCAGGGAGTGTAGCAGGGAGGCAGGACCCCAGTGGAAATACATAAGTCATTCTGTCTGACTTTTTTTTTTGTTATCCTAGGTTCTTTACACATATGCTGTGGAAGGGAGGCAGGGAGTGTAGCAGGGAAACAGGGAGTGTGGAAGGGAGGCAGAGAGCATAGCAGGGGAACAGGGAGTGTGGAAGAGAGGCAGGGAGTGTAGCAGGCATGCAGGGAGTGTAGCAGGCATGCAGGGAGTGTAGCAGGCATGCAGGGAGTGTAGCAGGCATGCAGGGAGTGTAGCAGGCATGCAGGGAGTGTAGCAGGCATGCAGGGAGTGTAGCAGGCAGGGAGGGAAGTAACCCCAGAGAGGGCTTTGATAGCTGAAGTCCTTATGGAGGGGGGATTCCCTTTCCAAACAATAATCAGTCCTCTCTTTCTCCTCCTCCCTGTCTTCCATAAGCCAACAAGAGTCTTCAATAAAGGTATGTAATAGTGATTTAAATGTTCATTTATTTATTTTATTTAGTTCTCATTGTTTTGTGTATGTAAAACTATAATTAACCCTTTCAGGGTCCGTGCCGTAGATCTACGGCTTTGAGTTGAGAGTCCAAACCGTAGCTCTGTACCATGAGCTCAGCTCAGCTCTGATAAATTTGGGCCTAGATATGAGAGAATTCATCTATGTGGTATGTGTGCACCACATATAACAAATCCTGCAGCACGCAGTGCATAATGAGAGGAAAAAACTGAGACCGTAATTTTCGATTAAAACAGCAACTTTGCAGTGTTTTTCGTATGTTTTTTATAGTTGTATTTGTGATTTCTTGGTCTCATTTGATAGAATGAAAGATATATTACAGAAATGGAGATGATTTTGATTGGTTTTAGTACTGGAAATGGCTTGAAACCGAGCTCAAAGTAGAGGAAATGTTAAATTTTTGCCAATGTTCAAGAGTAAACAAATGACCTCACACGTCTAATACACACCAGCTGGTGGGTCTAATATACGTTCACAAATGTGGTGATATTATTTATACAATTGTTACAGTATTGCATAACAGTAAATCTTCTAATTTTTGGTTTGAATAAAAATTCATAATGTGAATAAAAAATCAAAATGGAATTCATTTGTAAAGTCTCAAAATGTGACTAATGAACAGAGGAAATGTTAGTTTAGTGCCAGGAATGCCTGCATTGTTTATTCTGGACCCTATTTTGAAATTGGAATATTTTGAACTTTGTGTTAATTTGGCCAGATTACCATTTTCCAATCACTTTATTTTGTAGTTGACGTGGTGATTTCTTGTGCTCAGTCGATAGAACAAAAATAATACTAGTGGAATAGCTAAGAATTTGGTCGACTGGAATAATGTAATTGGCCTAAAATGGGAGTTGGTCGGCAAAATCGCCGATGCATAAATATTGCTGACACAGTGAAATTCGCGAGAGCATAATTTTGTCAGTTTTCCATCAAATTTCGTACTTTTTGTTTTATTACCTTCTGAAAAAGATTCTATACCATTTCATATGAAAAAATAACAAAATTATTTTTTGAAAATTCTTGGACCCTGGTGCTCACTTTGAAATTTGGCCTCTGGACCCTGAAAGGGTTAATCTTTAGAAAATGTATTTTTTGTTAATAATTTTGGGTGTTTAGAACAGATTAATTGTATTTATATTAATTCTTGTGGGAAATATTATTTCGGTTTTAGGCCATTTCGAATTTAGCCCGACCTTCTGGAATGGATTACAGCTGATAACTGAGGGTCCACTGTACATGTTTTTTGTCAATGGAGTTGATGCTGTTTGTGAGCCAGGGGCTGTTTAGTCTATTGGCAGTGATCTGTTTTGTTTTTATTGGACAATGTATGCAAAGCTGTGTGTGGTTTTCACCATAGTGTGTATAGGTATGTGTACTCTGCCACAGCAACCAGCCTGGAGCTGCTTACTCACAACTCACTTCTTCCTCAGTACTGCATCACATATTTCATGAATGACTACAGAAGAGTTTTTCAGACAAATGTTCTTTCTTGCAGTGTGTGAATACCTGAGTGAAAACTTAAGAGGACGTTGGGCAGACCTGGGACGCTCTCTTGGCTTGGCTAGTTTTGTCAGTGAATTGTTTCGTGAACCTGCCACACGACAAAAAGATAAAATATATCAGGTAAATTTCCAGACATAGAACAACATATGTTGGAAACTCATTTATACCATCATTCTGAATATGTGGTAGTTTAACATAGAGCAACACAGCTTAGTTATTGCTAAATAATTTTTTTTAAACAAATCAACCATCTCCTATCAAGGCAGAGTGATCCCCAAAAAAATGAAAGTTCATTTACCATCACTTACTCAACAGCTGTCTTGCTAGAAGTGTGCAGACATAATTTAGATGAACTTCTGAACTGCAATATTCCCTTCTACGTAGTCTGGCACTCTGCTTTTTTCCTTCTACAGTTTAGCACTCTGCTTCTCACCTTCTACATAGTCTAGCACTCTGCTTTCCACCTTCTACATAGTCTAGCATTCTGCATTCCACCTTCCCTATAGTCTAGCACTCTCCTCCCCACCTTCTACATAATCTAGCATGCTGCTTCCCACCTTCTATGTAGTCTACCACTCTGCTTTCCACCTTCTACATAGTCTAGCATTCTGCTTTCCACCTTCTACATAGTCTAGCACTCTGCTTCCCACCTTCTACAGTCTAGCACTCCGTTTTCCACCTTCTACATAGTCTAGCACTCTGCTTCCCACCTTCTACATAGTCTAGCACTCTGCTTCCCACCTTCTACATAGTCTAGCACTCTGCTTCCCACCTTCTACATAGTCTAGCACTCTGCTTCCCACCTTCTACAAAGTCTAGCACTCTGCTTTCCACCTCCAGGACTAAAATTTGGCTAACTGTTTTTCCATAATCTCTTCATTAATGTTACCATGTTAAATTATTTTATGCTTTATTTTTATGCTTCACTCCCCATTCCCATACTTTCATGGACCTTACTCCCCCCCCCATCATCAATCGTCACTTCCCGGAACACCTGCATATCCTCTCCCACCTGCCTCTACCCATTCCCACACCAGTGCCATGCGAGATATACAGGGGGTGAGGGGAACGTGGATCGTATAACGGGTGAAGGGAATATGGGACTTACAATGGGTGAAGGGAACACATGTTGTCTACAGAGAGTACAGGTAATGAGAAAGGTATTAAAGAGGTATGTGGTAGATTAAAGAGTGCCATGTGAGTATGCAGCAAAAGTTTGTGGGTATAGGAGGATGAGTGTTCGTGGGAAGAGGAGCAAGTGATGGATTGAAGAGGTAAGGGAGAAAAGGTTGGCATATGAGAGATTATTTTACAATGTACACATGGTATACAGTGGATGAAGTGTATAGAGAGAAAAGGAGAAGTTAAAAGATTGGTGAGGGAGTGGAGATGGAGAGCAGGTGATTTTTTGTGAGGATTTATCAATAAATTTTGCTGAGAATAAGAAAATGTTTTGGAGGGAGATTAATAAGATAAGAAAGCCCAAGGAATAAATGAATTTCACAGTTAAAACCAAAAGTGGAAAGATGTTAGATGGGGAGGTGGTGGTACAGTATGACTTCGTAAATGGTCCAAGTTGGACCGAAATGTTGTCGTAAGCTCCTCTCTTCTATGTGCAGGTTATTTGTGTATTGTTCCAGTCATGGTGTTGTGCCTTTTTTTGTTATTTATGTTATGGGAAGATGTTAGATGGGGAGGTGGCTGTACTGGGAAGATGTTAGATGGGGAGGTAGGGGTACTGGGAAGATGCTAGACGTGGAAGTGGCTGTAGTACTTGGAAGATGTTTGATAGGGAGATGGAAGTACTGGGAAGATGTTAGATGGGGAGGTGGGGGTACTGGGAAGATGTTAGATGGGGAGGTAGGGGTACTGGGAGATGTTAGATGGGGGGTGGGGGGTACTGGGAAGTGGAGAGAATATTTGAGGAGTTATTAAATGTTATTAGGAAAGAGGCAGTAAATTCATGCACTGGGTAGGGAGTATAACATCTTGTAGGAGTAAGGCAGTGGGTAGAATGAAAGCAGGTTAAGGTAACTGTGATAGATGAGATAAGGACAAAATTGTTGAAAGCAAGTGGGGATACAATCTTGAAGTAGTTGGTGTTTTTTCAGTTTATGCAATGAAAGTAGGGAAGATACCTTAGGATTGACAGAAAGAAAGTAGGATTCAGAGGAACAAGGAGGATTGAGGAAGGGTAGGGGATGTCTAAACCAGTGAACTGCTCTTGATAAAGGTAAGGACCTTTTTGTTGCAGTTTTGGATTTAGAAAAGGCATGTGATAGGGTGGATAGGAGAGCAATATGGCACATGTTTTAAATGTATGGAATAGGTGCGAGGTTACTAAATGCAGTAAAAGTTTTTATGTAAATAGTGAGGTCAGGTTAGTATTTGTAGGAGAGAGGACATTACCTTCCAGTAAAAGCAATGCTGTAGACAAAGAGCTTGGTGTCACGTAGTTGTTTAGCATATTTATAGACGGGGTTTTAAAAGTGAATGCTAGGGTGTAGGGAACAGGTGTGCATTAAAAGATAATTTATTTTTTATTATTTTTATTTAAACCGCCATTTCCCACCATGGCAGGGTGACCCAAAAAAGAAAAAACACTTTCATTATCACTCACTCCATCACTGTCTTGCCAGAGGCATGCCCTACACTACAGTTCAAACATGCAATATATATTTGCCCCTCTTTCAGAAACACAGGCACTGTACTTTCCACTCAGGACTTGAGTCTGGCTAACCGGTTTCCAGAATCTTTTCATAAATGTACATTGCTTTCACTCCAACACATGGCCAAGTCATAAAACCTATTTGCCTCACTTGTTCCTATCTACATGCTCACACACATTTGCTGTAAGTCCAAGCCCCATACACAAAACTTCTTTACCATTCCTCCAACCTTTCTACGCTGACCCTACCCACCTTTCTTCCACTGCAAATTTATATCGCCTCCAAATCACTCTTATTTCGTTCCATCCTTTCTAAAAAATCGAACCACTCAACAACCCCTCCTCAGCCCTCTAGATTAATACTTTAGAAACCTGCAACCTCCTAATCTCCAGGCTATGGATTCTCGATGACCTTGCTCTTTAGGGAGATTCTTAACCCTTGACTGTCGCAACCCAAATACTGAGGTGTCTCCTGGTGTTGCAAAATCCCCCCAAAAAATTATTTTATGAAATGATAGAGAATCTTTTCTGATTGTACTGAACCAAAAGAACGAAATTTGATGGAAAATGACGGGGATTACGCTCTCGTGAAGTTAGCAACCTCGGTGATATTTACGAATCGGCGATTTCCCACATTGAGCCCTATTTTCGGCTAATTTCATTGTTCCAGTCATCCAAACTCATAGTATTTCTTTAGAACTTCCATTTTTTTCTATGATTTAGTTCATAGAAACTGCCATTTACCAATTTCAACTACCCAATAACGTGGTCAGAAATTTGCAATTTGGCCAATTTCAAGAAGTGCGTGGTTACAGGAAAATGGGTTGTGGAGGGAGGAAGAGCGATTGGTGGAATAATGAGGTAAGAGAGTGTAAGAGAAAAAAAAGTAGCATATGAGAAGTTTTTACAAAGTAAGAAGTGGTACAAGGAGGGAGGAGTATATGGAGAGAAAGTGAGGTTAAGAGAGTGGAGAAGGAATGTAAAAGGAGAGCAAATGAGAGAGTGGGTGAGATACTATCAACAAATTTTGCTGAGAATAAGAAAAAGTTTTGCAGTGAGATTAATAATTTAAGAAACCTAGGGAACAAATGGATTTGACAGTTAAAATTAGGACAGGGAGAGTTATTAGATGGGGAGTTGGAAGTATTGGGAAGATGGAGGGAATATTTTGAGGAACTGTTAAATGTTGAAGATAGAGAAGCTGTGATTTCATGCATACGTGCATGGAGGATTAACATCTTGTAGGAGTGAGGAAGAACCAGTTGCGAGTGTGGTGGGTGGTGCGTGAGGCAGTGGTAGAATGAAAGGGGGGGGTAAAGCAGTTGGGATTGATGGGATAAAGACAGAAATATCAAAAGCAGGTGGGGATATAGTTTGGAATGGTTAATGTTTTTATTTAAGAAATGTATGGAAGAGAGGAAGGTACCTAGGGATTGACAAGAGCATGCATAGTTCCTTTGTATAAAGGCAAAGGGGACAAAATAGTGTAAAATTATGCAGGAGTAAGCTTGTTGAGTATACCTGGTAAAATGTATGTAGAGTTATTACTGAAAGAATTAAGAGTAAGACGGAGAGCAGGATCATGAGCAGGATATGATGAGTGATGCGGAAGTAGAAACGAAAAGTTTAAACATGCATAAGTGTGTTTATAGGAGCGAATGGAGATGAATGGTTTTTATGATTGTGTTGGAGTGTTGAGCAAAGTAACTTTATGAAGGGATGCAGAGAAACCAGTTGTTGGACTTAAATCCTGGAGGTGGGAAGTACAGTGCCTGCACTCTGGCGGGATTGTTGATATGTTGCAGTTTTTAACAGTGTAGGCATGCTTTGGCAAGACAGTGATGGAGTGAATGGTGATGAAAGTGTTTCTTCTTTTTGAGTCACCCTGCTTGGTGGTAAGTGGCCAGTGTTGTTAATAAAAGAATAAAAGAGGGTAATATCCTGAGTATAGTGGTATTAACACTGTTGTATGGGTGTGATGCATGAGTTTTAAACATTCTGAATCTAGGTGCAGGCTGTGTGGAAAATCAAATGTTTTCTGAGTTTAACATACTTGAGGGAGTGACAAGCCATTAATGGCTTATCACTCCCACAAGTATGTTAAACTTGGAAAACATTTGATTTTCCACAGGTGGGAGGCAGTGGAAATGTTGTGTTCGAAGATGATGCGAGTTGTGAGTATCGTGCAGAGAATTCTGAGTGAGAAGTTTAGAAGGTATGAGGGCTACCAAAAATATAACTCAAGAGTGCTGAGGAGGGGTTGTTGAGGTGGTCTGGATACTTAAAGAAGATGGAGCAAAATAGGATGACTAGGAAGGTGTATCTATCTGGGGTAGAAAATTAAAGGGGTAGGGGTCATCCCAGGAAGGGTTGGTACCAGCTGTTGGAGTGTGAGCAAGGTAACATTTGTGAAGAGATTCAGAGGAACCTGTTAGCTGGACTTGTGTTGTAGAGGTGGGAATAACAGTGCCTTCATGTAAATGAGCAGTGAGGATGTTGCAGTTCAGTGGGCCATCTGGACTGTAATGTCAGCATGCTTCTGGCAAGACAGCAATTAAATGAATGATGATGAATGTATTACTTCCTCTTTTTCTGTCACCCCTCCTCAGTGAGACAGTGTATTAAAAAAAAATTATATTTAGTTTCATTTATTTAAAGTATTGTTTCTCTTCTGTAACTCAGCCTGTCTTGGTTACATTTATTTTGCTCATTTACTAGGTCTTAATTTACTGAATGTAAGGTTTCCACAAACACTTGATCACAAAATTATTTTGTGTTTAATAATACCTGGTTGTCTTTGTACTGTTGCAGATTTTAGAAGAATATAGAAGGCAGGTGGAAGGTGACCCAGTCACAGGTCTTTTGCAGGCTCTAGAGAGCTGTGGCCTTAATCGCCAGCGCAGTCATATACTTGAGGAAATTCTTACTTAGTTACTGGTAAGATATTAGGAACTTGTAATTTGAATAAAAAAATGTTGTATCTGTAGGAATACCTTGTGGTGGTGGCAATTTTAATGTCTCTGTAACAGTTTCTTTACAATAATGTGAAATTTCCTCCACATTTTGACTTTGAACTTAGTGATTGTGTTATATCCACTAAAATAAATGCTAAAACCTTGTGTGCTCATGAAAGGAATATTTTTATTGAAATTGGGGGTGTATCTACCCTGGTTGCCTTTTATTTTATTGCTATACTGTTTCTATCTTGTACAACTTTTTCTGTGAAAAATCCTTTCTTATTCCTCCTGAAGGCGAGACTTAAATTTGTATAGCCATTACTGACCCCATTGATGCTTTGGGGCACATCTGGGGTTTCCCATGCTAAAGTGAATGTGGCCAGGAATAACACAGCACAACGTCAATGTTGCTGTACTTTTTGGGAAACTCTATCTCCTTTCTTGTTAGTTGAGTATTTTTCCATGTT